CACCGGTGCTCATTAGATCATTTCTGTTAATTATACAACCTAATTAATACAAAGATTAAGGAACTTTATGCCTCTTGTTTCTCTTAAGGGGCATTCACACACCTGGCCATACTTTAATTTCAAACCACTGAGCTTGTCTTTTCAACTTTTAGGGATCATTAAAAATAAAATATAATTAATGTATTTTAATGCCTACAACACTTGAATTTGATGAATAATAATAATATATAATTACTTTGGAGGTTGAGAACCCAACTTTATTATTTAATTACTGAGTTCAGCTCTTTTACTGGATTCCTGGACTTGTTTTTTTCACTTTAATTTTTATGTCAATTCGTGTGCATCTTTGTCAAAGTTCGTCAAAAATTTTAGCTTAAAATATTGTCGATCTTTTGTATTTACGGAACGTGATAGTTAGACGATTAATAATCATATTAATGATGTGAATCCAAGGATAGAAAAAAAAATTTGAAGAATAACGTCTTGTTCGTCACTTTCAACTCTACAACTTACAGACATTTGAATCGACTTTCTCGTTTCTTTCGCTAAATATTATAGGAGAAAAAAACTGCACTTACATTCTTTACAGTCAATCTAAAATTCAAATAAAGAGACGGGGAAATGTGGTAAGTTGACAATTAACGTGGAACTTGTAAAATCTTAGTACATGATCTTAGTTTCTATCCATGTCCCTTGCTAGCTTGTGATGCATTGCATTTCAACATGACATATCATGGTTGCTACGGGTCCACTAGCTTTATATCTTTCAATGCATCCAAAAATAAATTGAATGAAGTCGTGAAAAGCCCATTAATCTTATCTTAATCCGAAATGATTTTACCAATCCCAATCCCTAAGTCAAGCATTATTTGTCTTTGACAACACCAAGAGCCAAACCCACAAACAATCCTTTCCAACTATAGAAACTATAAGCAATTATAGCCACAAATACACTGACCCACTAACACCTCAAAATCTGGGTTTTATGGCTCTTTTGCTGGGTTGAAAACTTGAAACATCATCAGCAAATAGAGGGTTTCCAATTTGATGATAGGGGGCATTCATTGCCGATTATCCAACCAGCACCAGAACAATATCCAATAATTGATTATTTTCAAATAACAGCTCTGACAAGTCATTTTTAAGCTAAATTCCCACCATTTTTTGTACCCTTCAATACAAAGCAATGGAGCCCCTTAACAATCATGATACCCTTGTAAAGACAAACAAATTTTAGCTTCTATAATCCAATTTGTAAAAGTTATGGTTTGATCAATCAGCATCAAATAAAAAAAAAAACAAAAAACTACAAGCCCCACCTACTTCTCTCTCATTTACCCTTCTTCACACGTTTGGCTAAACTTAAAAATAAGTTACTTTATAAACTTTCACATAAAAACACATTTGGATCTGTTACCATCTTGTCTATTATTGCATACCAAACATGTGTGTGCGCAACAAGAACTCGTACACATTTGTTGGTGAAACGTGATCAACCAAAATCATTTATATCCATAGATGCTAAAATACGAATTCTGCTTAAAATGTCACCTGCATACACAAAGTATATCCAAGTTTGTCCAACTTCTGATAACTATAAAAAGAACTTTTTAGTTCACTCAGAAAAAACTAGCGCGGATTCCCCTCTACCTAGTAACTGTGAAAACTGAGTTTCATCTTGAGTTGAAAAATGATTATAAATATCATTAGACATTGCTGAGACCGTCTTACCATATATCAATGGCATGAAGAGTACTTTGATTAATTTTCGAGTAAGACAAGAACCAATTACCTTAAATAGATTTTCAGTCAGTGCAAGAGAGAAGTTTACACAGCATATTTTTAAATAAATAAATGGACTTCAATAAGCATATAGTGAACTCCAAGGACAAAATAAGCCTTGAGGAGCTCAAAATCATCTACTAGATCATATACAAATACAACTTGCTAATTGTTTAACAAGATTTGATACAACATTTGTCCATCTTGATGGAATATTTCTATCTATTTCCCCGATCAATCACCAGATGTCAACTCTTTTTCAAGCTCATCAAATTCCCAGTCATTAACTTCTTCTGCAGAGTAATCCCTGTTTGATTTACCAAATTCAGACTCCAGTTTTGCCAATTCTGCTTCAGGGTCGAGTGCCTGCTTAGACTTGAAGCTGGGTGACTCAGGGTGCTCGTCTTTCCCCGCTTCAGGTGCCTCTGCAGCTAGTTCTGAGGAATGTACACCACTTTCCTGCGGCTTCTCACCAGTTGATGCATCTGCCCGTGGAGGGGGATTCTCGATTTCTAGATTAGGTCTCTCTATAGATTCAAATTCCTCTCTTATCTTTGCAATTTTGTCGAATAGCTCTTTCACCTTTGGGTCATCTTTGCTGAATGAACTCAAAACCAGTAATAGATTTTAGATATGATGCTGGAGTCTCAGTATTATAACTAACAGAAATATATAAGTTCGGTAATCAAACCTGGAGACCATTACTTGTTGAGCATAGAACTGCTCTCTCATGTTGTCCACTACACTGAAAGTCGTTACGATCTGTATCAAAAGTAAATGGCAATCACATTTTTTTTAGGTAAACATGCCAGAGTCCTTGTGGGGTGCTCACTTGATGATATGAAAAATAAGCAGCAAAATGACTAAAATAAGTTATTGACTATATTTATCTCCAGGAGGAGACAGTGTGAACAGAGACATTAATTTTGCAAACTTATTAGGGATAGCTCCTCTGCACATCAACACATATGTAAAACTTTAGACACCTGATGAACTACATCGCAACAGAAAAGTGAACTCATAGCCTGTTAGAGTAAGGTAATGTTTTTACCTTAGCTTCATAGTTGAGGTATTCCTCCTCAAGGCTTCTCCTTGGGTTCAGTATTTTGGAATAATCATTTTCAGCATTAGAAGCCAGTGCTGACCTGTTATACGATTTTGAAAATTTTGAGCGCGATGCCAAAGTAGAAATAGTTTAAGCAATCCATTAAAAGGAAATACCCTTCGGTTAAACTCTTCAAATTCTCCACGTATTTTACAATACGATCAATACAAGGTCTCAACTCATTCTGCATCATATATTTTTAACAAAATAAGGTCACCATCATAAATGAGAGAGAGTTCACAAGGCCGTTCATAAGAATTAGAAGAGAGATGCTATATATGAAAAATGTCATTCTGATAGGGAAGTCGAATAAGCACCTCATAAGCCGAAAGCAGTTGAATAACCAAATTTACAAAGTAGCCTTCATGAGTCTGCAATTCATCACTTGAAAAATCCAAACCAGTAAATTAGCTACAACATAAGCTTTAAATATTTTGATTACTTGCAAATATTATAATTCTTGTAATGAGCATATAAGTGAAATTATGAAACATTACTAGAAGAAGTTCAAATAAAATATTCAAATCTAGGAAGAGAAACCATGCTCATGGGGATAACTTTAATGTTCATTAACATACTTGGTTTCCTTCTCCTTAGTCTCTGCATGTGAACACTGAAGAGACCAAGTATCTTCCAAAAAATTTATCCAAGTACTTAGAACATCTGCTTCTACACGGCTTGAGTTAATGGATTTTGATAGCTCTTCTTCCTATAAAGTTGTACGGACATGGGCGTACAACAAA